CAGTATTACTCTTTCAATAAGAGGCTCCTGCTTTTTAGTATCAACAGGCTGTTGCGTGGGCTTCTGAACCTTTTCTTGATTCGTCAAACTTACTGCACCCAGAACACAGGCTGGGCTTTTGCAAGTTTGGTTAGATCTGGTCTCCTGCTGTGAGACTGGGGGATACCTGTGATTGCTGCCATTCGAAGATTCTTTCACTGGGTTAGGCAGAGGCTTTGCCTTCCATGCTCTATTGGGCAGGGCTTGAATCAAGGTCCTTCCTCTATTTCCCTGCCAGGAAGTGTTTGCTAAGAGCAATTCTTTATTGCTGAATCTTGAGCAAAGTTAACGCACCCATGACTTTCCTTCCTACAGCGGGTGCAAAGTCCGTCTGGGTTCTTTTCAACCCGAACTTGGTGGCCCAGCCCCATGCTCTGGCGCAGGCCACAGCGGGCTTTTCGACTTTGCCTCTTTGCTTCTATTTTCTGAGCTCAACTTCTCAACCGGAATATCTTGAGGCTCCACTTCCCAAACTTCATCCTCTGTGTTAGCTCTCTTAGTTTGCATTTCTGCGGAGCCAATCTCACTACCTCCAGCACTGGCTTGTTTACGATCTCTGGTCTTTTTTTCATTACATTCCAGCAGGGGAGCAGATGGTTTTAATAGCATTTCCCCTTAGTTTTCTTAGTTCTGTCTAAAATCTTCTCATCAGCCTGATACCCATTCTGCCTGCCTCCCACCAGATTTAAGTGTGGGTGTCTCACTACTCCGAAGGTTTTGTTCCTTTGTGTTCTCTACCTTTGAAAGCAAGGGAGCTTCCTGGGATTGTTTCATAGCCTCGCTTTGGACCTTGGAATTCACTTCTAATTCACTCTAATGCTTTATCACCTTTAAACCTTCAGACGCTGCAGTCTCCTGAGGGCATATAGGTTTTGGCCATGAGGTTTTCTTTAGAATCGGAGGCCTTACATAAAAAATCAATCCCCGCTTCTTCAGTTTTTTCTAAAGTTTCATCACCTAAATCATGCTCCTTCAAAGAGATTTGAGCTTGCTTTTCTAGATTTGGATAGACACAATACTGAGACCATCTTAACTTGAACCCAGAGATCGTGTCTCCACTGAGATATTCTCCCCATCTCTGTGTACTTTCTTTAAGTTTACAATGACTTCCTCCCAGATCTCTAGATCAAAAGTTCCTTCCCCTGGGACCCATGGATTATACCTTTTTACTACATTTAGAAAACACGGCATCTTTTTCTTCATTACTTTTACGCCCTGTCTTCTCAGTAAGTGGATGAGCATGGTACACTACGTTTCAGGTTTGCTTTTACCTTGGCCCATTGTCCTCTTCAACATACTCATTCACTATTTCCACTACTTATCTGCCAATCCCCACACTGGATCCTCCCTGACACAATTTTACGATTCACTCTACATTCCGGTGGGGCTGTGCGATTGTTACATGGGGGATAACTCAGTTCTTTTCCTACTTCCCCATGATGGGCATCATTTGTGGGGGAAGGACCAGCCCCCCACAACTAATCACTGGTTCAGTAAGCTGAATTGTACGGTGAAGATATATAAAGATTATAATAAAGTCATAGAGAAAGAGAGGGATTAAAATAATTGTATTAGTCTAGGTACTTTGGAGAAACAAATCCACAGCAACTCATATATAAGAGAGAGTTTTATGTAAAGAAAAGGTGCATCAC